AACAGAAATAAAAGCAACACACGACAGCAATAACATAAAAACACATAGGTATTTCCGCCTTGACTGTGTACGATTTTATTCGGATGGACGCTGACACCTGACAACGTTATGTAGAATGAGTGTGTGATTCCAAGAAAACTTGGAATTTCGATGCGAGTAATCAAATATTTTTAGGGGACCTACACTTTAAACGGGACTCTGTTACTAATATGCTGTCCGCTGTCGGTCTGTCTGTCTGTCACCAGGCTATTTCTCATGAACCGTGTTCGTAAACAGTTGAAATTCACAGATGATTTATTTATGTATAACAATAAATAAAAAACAGTTATTTAAGGGGGCTATCGTACAATAAACGTTTTTGTTTATTGTAAGGAATCGTTCGCGCACGAGTCCGATTCGCATTTGGCCCGTTTCTTGCTCACGCCGTGGAAATGCAACTTATGTCTCAAATCAGGGATGTCCAATCATTAGAACCTGCCCCGTCAAAATGCGGTTGATCTGTCTGGTAAAATCCGTCGCAGATAAGCCTGTCCTTCGGGTATCCGGGATCCAGTTGTGGAAGAGCCGGGCCAATGCTACAGTCAATCCTACGTTTGCCCTCGAATATAATGAGGGCTTACTCTTTTTATTCACGAAATCGAAAAATTTTGAATCGTTCTTATGTAGTTAAAATCATATCCATGAAGTTTATCTATTGTCAGGTCATACCTCCATTTTATCATAAATAAAACATTAATAAACAACACATACATTGCTCAGATTCCAAGATGAGTATCTAAATCCCCCCTATTATGGAGTATCTGAGGCAACGAAAGTAACACAACACTTTTTTTTTTGCGTCGAGTAAATGCATTAGGTACAAGCCCTGCCGCCTGGCAATCGACAGGGGGTCATTGGATTCCTATGTGAACCCACCCCGTGGCTAGCCGCGCGGTGGGCTTAGACGAATTTCATTTTCGGAGAAACAGAGTAGGCTTATTCGCAACAAACGGTACCGCGGTGATAGATATCCATTAAACGGCTCTTACGTTTTATCATTTTAGTATCGTATAGAAAAATAACGTCACGTGAGTAATTAATGTTTTGATGACGTTTAAACGAGCCGCGTACTGTTTACGTCACTTTGACGTCATGTATATTGTTTTTGGTGAATAATTTATTACTTTTCAAATAAATAACTATCACTACTTACCATTGTTATATTAGGTAGTGAACATTCTCTGCGTTTGTTGTTAGCAATCTAACCGTACAGGTTTTTAATTGTGTTTTTCATTGTAATATAGGAAATATCATGATAAAGTTAATCTGTAATTAAAAAATCTAATGAAATGTTAAGTATTCTGGCATTTCACCATTTGTGATCATTACCGGTGAAACCATATTCCATGCTAATTTTATAAATTGCGTAAGTAAGCGATTATGTGCGTCTGTTGCGTTTTACAGACGAACCGCTGGCTGACTATGATGAAATTGGATATACCCACAGATAGTACGAGATCTGGGAAAGTACGTTTGTAAACGATCTTTTATGGATGCTCGTGAAGTAAATCGTTTAAAACAATTAAGATTTTTAAGGTTACGTACCTCGATAGAAAAAGGAACTGTTACGGTTATAAGACGATCACTTTGGTGTTCGACTGTCTGTTAAGACCTTTAATTTTGGGAACGTATGGAGATATCTTAGTGCAGGGGTATCAAACTCAAAATTACAGAAGGCCATATATTAGATTTAGAATGAGTATTTAGGCCAGGTCAAATAAAAAAAAAACTTACTGAATAACTATTAGAAAAGCATAAACAATTAACTCTCTCGATCATCTACGCTTGCGATACTCTTGAAATTACATAATATAGCTCGAGCATTTATAAAATCCGTATACGCTTCGAGTGCAGTTTAAAATCTAAAGAAGTAAGATATTTTTCTGTGATATATTGTTATTAGGGCATACTTTTTTTAATTCTTTTAATTTTTAAGCGGTTTTTACTCTTTAGAACATGTCAACCCCATCATACCATACTTAAATCTAAATTCATTTTATTACAATATTTCACTAGTGAATTTTTACAGCATTTACTGCAGTTTATGCTAAATTTATCAGTCATTTACGTAATTTTTGTGCAATGATAGACTTAGGCTCTGCTAAAATACTTTGAATTAATCCAATGTCTAAAACATTTAATTTAAGTTCTTTCATAAAAGACTCCCTCTCTTCTTTGTTTCTAGTAGGTACACTCCATCAGCCAATGTTGTACTATCTTCAATTTTATTGCAGGCGTGACATTTATCTGAGTCAGTATTTTTCATTAAATATGTAAACTTTGTCGATGCGTAGTGTCCAGAACGGAGTCTTAAAATCAATTTAATGTAATTTCGACTTATTTTAATATTATCAAACCAGGTTTCGCCTGGAGCTTTGCTTTGAATTGTTTTAAACATATACCTTTTTCGTTAGATTTCTTATCATAATGATCTTTCCATATTAGGGCATTCGCGGGCCCCATTCATATAGCTGTCTGATGGGATGCGGCCCGCGGGCCGTCATTTTGACATGACTGCCTTAGTACTTCACCATCCACGAAAGCTCTTGGAAATTTTAGTCATCACCTCTTAAAATCGAGACGTGTTGACTTTAGCTCGAAGAATGGTTTAAACCTGGTACTAATGTAACTCCTCGTCTTGTAATAAGACTGATAATGATTAAGATAAGATTGCCGTGATTTTTTTCCTTGATATTATTAATCATATGTATCTTTTTATTCTGCATCACTTTCATGTAAAGTAACCAAATCAGTAGTTCGAAATCGCCAAATTAGTAAGTTTGTTGACCCAACCAATTTTGGTATACAAAGAGCTGTGGGCGAGGTTATTTATAACGTATAAAGTGGGTGAAATGAGACTTATTTTTGACAAAGGAAACGAACGTCTAAAGAAAGTTTCCACTGGTCGTAACGTAGCGGTTTATATTTTTCGTAGAAATATTATGGCAGGCCCATAATTTATTTTTTACAAGCTTTTATTTCACTTGCCTTGTTTATTATGTTAGTGCGCAAATCTTGGTACTCAAATTAGCCCCACTTCCTGATGTCCGATAGATTTGAAATTTTCCATGGACATGTAAGTTAGATGACAATGCAATATTATGGTGTCAGTAATTTGATATGGTGCAGTGACGCAACTGCACCGTGTTTGGGCTTTGGTACTGAATGCTTTTCAGACCAAGGTCTGGTGATGATGGAGTTGGAAGGTGGTCATAGGAAATTAGCATTGATATAACGCATCGTGTTTGCTCTTTAGATCCGTTTTTATGGGCATAACAACATTTTGAGAGAAATCTAAAAAATAAAAATATAATTCAAAATTAATTTTAAAAACAAGCTTTAATGTAGATGCACTAAAACGTTAATAAATAGTTTCTAATCATTAAAAGTACTTATAATCAAAATTTTGTCTCTAACAGTAATTGACTTGATAAGCTTGTAGCGCCTAAGAATATGCATAGTTTTCCTCGATCTTCAATTCCATTAGCCCAACAAGTGTCTAGAATTTATTTATTAGCGTTTTAGTGCGCCCAAATAAAAGCTTGTTTTTAAAAACTTTTATTATTTTATTTTTATTGCTATACCTATATAAAATTACTAGCTTTCCGCCAGCGTAGTCTTGTATTATACATAAAAAACCTTCCTTTGGAATCACCCTATCTACGAAAAAAACCGCATCAAAATCCCTTGCGTAGTTTTAAAGATTTAAGCATACATCGGGAAAGAGAAAGCTACTTTGTTTTATACTATGTAGTGATAAATAAATCTTGAAAAATCGGCCAGCAAACCTATCGATTAGGTAAGTCGATTGAATTTGATTTGGTTGGAATCGTATCGAGTGTCATTTATTAACAAATTATTATTTATTATATTTGATCAATTTTACTTTCAACTATTATAAGTTGTCCTGGAATTTGTAGATAGAAAAATATTTTGTGAATTCTTTAAATTTGCATTAGTCCCAGTAGTTCCGGAGGTTAAGGGTATCATATTTTTTTAGAATTATTTATTTTGAAATTAAATAATTATATTTAAAGTTTTCACCATTAAATATTTATATTTAAAGTTTTCACCATAAGCCTTAAAAAAAATCTTGATTAGTGCAGTACTTTCGGGGGTACATAAACAGACGGACGGACTCGTAGATAACCGAATGATGTTATGAATATCCGTTTTTTATTTTTGCCGTACGGAGTCTAATATGGTCAATTCCTTGATGTAAATATATAATTCACGAATAAAAATATTAGCGCCATGTATTCAAAGAAAAAACAGTGACATTCCACCTTCATCTTTTTAGTTATGTTATCGATAATGAAGATAACATAACTGAAGTCACGTGAAGATAAAACCTGTGTGTGTAAAAATATCACATATGAGCTGTTTACTAACATTTGTAATCTATTCAATGATCTGATAACGCCTGGCGCTAGGTCCGTGATTGTGCACGTCGTTTACTCACGGATGGGTCACCGATCTCTAAACAACAGGCTGTTCTGCGAATCATTTCATGTAAATAATGGGATGTTACTTGTGTGCCTTAAGTACCTGCCTACAATTATTCAGTATATGTTACATACAAAGCATGAATGTGGTCAAAAAAACTTCTGGCTGCCGAGTACAACTACTTTATTAAAATTCTGTTGAAAGTGATTCAAGTCAATTTAATTAAATTTAAATATGTATATATAAAACGCATTAGAATATAGTAATTAAATTAAAAAAGACTATCAAGTCTTAAAATAAAAGTTAGATATTATGTAATAAATGGATTTTAAAAAAGTAATGGATATGACTTAAAATGAGAAAGGGCTGATTCAATTTGATATGTATTAATCAATATTATAACTCAATAAAAACGCATATTTTTTTAAACTTTTCGTGTAATTTTTAATTTGCAAGTATCTATACCGAATGTTTGTCTAAGTGTAAAAAAAATAAATTTATTATATTTCTTGCAGCCGGCAGTGGGCCCCTCGGGGGCGATCGGCAAGGTGCACAAATCGGATCGCAAGATCGGGCACCGGCGGGTCGGCGAAGGGGGCGAGATCACATACAAGAAGATCCAGTCTTCTCAAATCATGGGCTCCATACAGCTTGGTGAGTGTTACCATATGCCCAAGTAGGTCACAATTACAAAGTCTAATATCAAATGAACAAATCTTGAATATCACTTTGACAAAGAATGGAATTTGACTACAACATGTTCGTTTATAAATGTGTTATCCTTCAAAAGTTCGTTCGTGGATACCACAGAACACAGAAAATGTACTAAACACGTATAATAAAATCTTGCCAGGAAGCGTTGCGTGACAAACTCGAGAAACGCTCTAGATTCTAGAGTTTACGAGCTCGAAAAACTGAAGAAAAGGGTCGAGAATTAGGTATTTTGTCTAATCGAGTTCGACAGCCTGTGTAGGCAGGACCAACTTAAAAAAAATATTTAAAAAATAAAAGCAGGTGAATAATATTTGATCAATGACTAATGATGCTCACGTTACCCTTGCTTTGATTAGCTAATTAATTAAGTTGTTATGAAAATTTTATATAATGACTATAAAATTTTAGTATCTAGTTTAGAATTATTATTTAAAGACTATAGTCCATTTTATATGGATTTGTAAATAATCTTTAAGGATAGATTAGATTTGTGGACGTGTAATGTAATCCCTAATTGTAATATCAAGAGATGGGACAATCGTTTAATACGGAATTTTCGGCTAAGTTCACAACTTTGAAACTAGAAATACATAAACTTAAAATCAAATACGGAGTATTCGGATAGCGAAATTAAATAAAAATAATTGTACAATATAATGAGTTGATAAGTGAATTAAAAATGTGTAACTTGTTAATTAAAAACTGTGTTGCTGTGTTTCCGCGGATCCGCTCGCGTATAAATAACCTATGTAACCCGTGTATGACGTAACTTCCCGTAGGTGAAAGAATTTTTAAAATTGTTCCAGTAGTATCGGAGTCTTTTCAATGCAAACAAACATAAAATCAAGACTTCTCTTTATAATATTAGTATAGATTATACTTAAACTGTATTTGTACAGTGTTAGTGTCACTGTTACACTGAATATGGTGGATATGATCAACATTGACTTAACCCTTGCCCCTGAAATTTGTTTAAAACTACTGTGAGACCATTTAAACAGTTTTCACTCCTAACACATGAGCCGAATTATTCGACAGAATTAACGGCTTGCCGAAAACGAGACCGAATTAAACTCTTCGGTACAACCGCTAATCGACACCTCCCTAGTTATAACTCAACCTTGACTTTACAGTTATATTATTGTAACGCAGACTACCAGAACTTTCAGCAACAACAAACAGACCCACAACCCTGTATATTTGAATTCAACCAACATAAAATATTGTTTCGGTAATCATGGCATTGGTCAGAAATAGAAAAGATAGTGGCTCCGCTTACCTTTACTGTTGCTAAGGGAATGTGAATTCTGATAGCATATAAATAGGATTGCTTTGGCCTGTGCTACACGCGACGTATAACTATCTATGTTTTGTAAATAAAGTAGCCACGGGATGTGCATGTATTAAAATTAACTCTTGTGAGACCAACTATAGGGGTAGGGATTTTTAGAAGTGGCATATTTGTTTCTAGGTATTGTATTTTGTGAATAAAATTTGTCATTGCAAAAAAAAAATATAGATAATACGCTTATATAGTGTAACATTGACTCTATGTTTCTCCGATTTTGCTACTGTGCTATTCTATTATATTGATTTTATAACGAAGATAATATAATACAGTAACTTCCAATTAATATGTCGCATGGTGGGTGAATCGTTGTTTACGCAGAGCAGCAGATTTAGCACTTCAAACGATGACAAACCGTACGATTGACATTTACAATGAGTATCGTTTCTGTAATAAAATCAGCGTTTAATTCGTAGTCGAACGTAGCTTACAGATTCAATCAAATAAACCCTACTTGAAAAAGGATAAGGTTTTATTTATTTGATATCTACGCGGTCATAGCGCTGTGTTCGACGTCGATTTCGAGGATGATTTTATTACAGAATAGCATAACAGACGGATGAACAGACAGCGAAGCGAATTAGTAAGTTCTATTAATTAATATAAAATTAGACGATAAATAGATATTCAGCCATATCCAAGACTTAAAACATGTCCGAGTCATACTTAACACTGTAAAACTTTCTTAAGTCTATGCCGCTCCACTGGCCCACATACATTATTGTACCATTCGGCACATAAGGCTCTATAGCGTAATTTCTTCGCCCTATTTTGAAGTCGATTAATAATCATGATATTTATTGGCAACCTTGGTTGATTGACAGTCACGAACAAAGGCAATGAACAACTATGTACTGAGGGGCCTACTAGAAAGATGAGTCGACGATCTTCTCATTAATGGCAATTCAAACGCTGCGTTAATGTAATTTATTTATGCATATAATGTGTAAATAAATATTAAATATATTTTTTTTTTCCTGCGACCTGCGACCATGTGCTATTATAGTCTATATCACCCGTGTATGATGATTATTCCCCCCTATTTCTATGTGCGCCTTACATATTATGTGTGCCTGGTTCTCCAGTTGATTGGGAGAGAATGGACGAAATCCGCCATTTGTACAATTTTGCGTGCAAAAAGTATAAATAAATATTTTCGGAGTCGTTTCGATCCAAACAATCAATCAATCTTTTCTCTATATATTAATAATATACTTTAGTGCACACACAAGACGAATAACAAATTACAGAGCTTGAGAAAAAAAAAAACAGAATACAAAAATGCGGCCTTATTGCTACATAGCAATATCTTCCAGGCAAACTATGGAGGAAAATAGATAAAAAATATATATAACATGTATAAGAAAGAACACATATATTAAGGAATATAAAGGAAGTATAATGGATATATTAAATAAAAGTGTAAATTATGAGACATATTCATGCTCTGGATCAGTGGCGTAGCTACTAAGGGGCTAGGCGGGGCAGTGCCCCGGGGCCCTCAAGCTCAGGGGGCCCTCGAATCTTTACCAGAAAATCTCAATCGAACCATCTTTTGAAAATTTCTCCCATCCTCAAAATAAAAATGACAGGTGACAACTCGAGTTTAATCATGGAAACTCAGTTGTGAGTAATTCCAAAGTTATAATTAGGTACCCTCCTTTGCGTCGCGCTGTCGGGTAAAAAGGGAATTCCCGTAAATTATTTGTGTGGGTTGACAGTGTTATTAATGTTTTCATCAATTTGTTGGAAATCAGTATCTGCATATTATTATTTATCGATATGCGTTTTTGTGATTCGCGATTGTGAACTTCAAGTCAAGATTTTTTTTCGAGAATGGTTAAAAAGTTATTGTATCAGGAGTTTTTTGTACTGGTCCATACAAAAGTTCAATTTTATTTTATTGTAGTCCGTCAAACCGTCAAATGTAGTAACACTGACGGCGATAAAGCGTTTGCCGGGGATTCCCCAACGACGCCTTGTATCGTATCATTTTCATTCATTCACGTTTCGCTTTCCTTTTACTTGTAACGTTGTCAGTGAACAGTGAGTACCTACTTGAGTACAATCTTACATAAATATTGCATAAATAAATTAGAAAACGAATATTATGGACAAAAAAAAAAGAAACCCGGTGGTGCATTTAAACGCAAACAACGCCAAGAAAGAGGAGAAAGTAAACAAAAATTGCCCAAAATTGACAAGTTTTTTAGTCAGCCTTCTGCAAGTACTTCTGGATCAAATATTTCTATTGATAATTTTTGTAAATAGCTTGCATGGCGATAGGTTAAATAACAGTAAACTGGTGCAACGTATCTATGATTAAATAAATATATAATAAACCCTTGAACCTTTTTATTTCGTTTTATTGCCCAATACCTACACCAAGTATAAAAATAATTGTAATTTATGTTGTTAGTGTTTAATAGTTTTATTACCTGCTTATGCACGAAAAAGAGGTGATGATAAATTTATATGTATATTTAATGATTTTACTTCAAAAAAATTTTTTATTTGCCCCAGGGCCCTAGATTACCTAGCTACGCCACTGCTCTGGATAGGAAATGTATATTAGTAAGTGTAGTTTAAATAAAATGACGAGCTCAGATGCCAAGTAGCTAAAGCCTTTTGTGCTAAAATCCGAACAATTAACGGTACCACGACCACCCACACTTGAGGCAATTATAGAAAAGTAAATTTTTCATATTGACCCAGCCCGGCCATCGAACCTGAGACCTTAGATAAGACGGGACATTTTAATCGTCGTGTGATTTTTACAATTTAATTTCAGTTATTTTATTCTGCTAAAATTGTATCTGATAACTGCTAGTTCATATTCAAACGGTTCCAATATTAATAATAATATAAATCCACTTAAAATATTAACGAAAATTCAAATACTATTTTGTACTCACTATAATATACAGTGATAGTACGTTTAATAACAAACATACGTGTTATCAGTAGTGTGACTAAACAGCTGTCATACAACTGATTTAAATGAAAACATAGTGCCGCTTCCGAAACTAATGTGAGTCATCTAATTGTAGTGTTGTGAAATATTTGTTGATTATCTACAGCGGACTATGGTCGCATCATCCTGCGAGTTCTGTGGGTGATTCGTATTTTATTTATACTAATATTATAAAGCTGAAGGGTTTGTTTGTTTGAACGCGCTAATCTCAGGAACTACTGGTTCGAATTGAAAAATTATTTTTATGTTGAATTGATCATTTGTAGAGGAAGGCTTTAGGCTATATAACTTCAAGCTGAAATTATTAGAAATATGGAAAACGGCTACTAGTCAATCTATACAAATAAATAAAATTGCGAGTGTCTGTTTGAAATATCAAAATAACCGCTTTTCTCTAAATACATATGCATGTATACACGGTACACATACAAAAATATCATTTTTTGCCTATCTGTCTGTTTCGGCTGATCATTAAAACAGCTGGACTGATTTTGATGACTTTCACTGGCTGATAGCTTATGTAATAAGGGGTAACATAGGCTACTTTCCACACGAAGTCGCGGGCATGCATAGCCAGTACAATATAAGCATCTTAAGTTTCTGATTGCGTTTGTTTGT